AGAGGGCCTAACATCACAAAAGAAGGGAGGGTGGCGTTACTGACCAGCAAACATGATGGTGGGGAGATAACTTCAACCCACCCATGTCTGTAGGGCAGAACATTTTGTTTAATTACGGCTCCTTATGGTTTAGTGGGATGTCACGAACTTAAGGTATTAATGCTGATTTTTCATGCAAAATACCTCATTAAATCGTGTTACGAGCATTGAATTGGTTTCACTTGCTACCTAGTAATCCTATTACAAGCAAACTAGACAATTCGATAATATGCGAAGCTTACTCAAGACCCTATGATACCTAAAAAACATAGTAATAATACAAAAAAAATGAAAAGGGCTCCGATAGCTTCGATAAAAAAGTAAGATAGTCAATTCCATATCACAGTACTGTTTTTCGCACTATATTTTATAACCGCACATAATCCCATACTCTCAGCTCCTTTCTGAATCGCCTCCATTTGTCAGTCGTATGTCCACTCATACCTTGTTTACACTTATTTTCTTCAACCTATTAAAATGCTCTTGCCTAACAAATACCTTAATAAAAGAAAATTAAACTGAGTAATCATACCTTAAACATTTCTTCATGAGTATTGGCTACTCTGCCTGTCTTCTTTTCTTTTACTTGCTCCCTATCTTAGCCCCCTTGACATATGGAACGGGTGACTTCATCCTGCACCATCCTTAAAGCCTTAGATGTTCCAAAGGGACATAAGGTTGTGGTTTCTAGAAGCTCCCACCTTCAATGGACCTATCCTTGACCATCAGTTGCACATTCGCAACGCAACTTTCTGGAAGCGAGCTGTGATACTGACTAAAACTATCTACATTCATATCGTTTAAATTATCAACCCAGCTGAGTAATTTACTACAGTGTATATTGCATCATTTGTAACAATTTGATCTTGCCTGTAAACTGGCATGCCTCATGTAACAAACTGTTATTTGAGAATAAATTATTATTATTATTATTATGGTGATCCATGACCTTAAGACAACGTCCCATCACTTTCCGACTGAAGCCAAAATGTTTAGAACCCCATAACCCTAAGACCAACATTTAATAAATTGGATACACACATCTTCTTACGTTAGGTAGATCCAAACATAAAAATAGCGCTCAGAAAACAAGCTCTTTTTAGAGGTGACTTGGACTTTCTGGAAAACATACAAAGTCCAGCTACCACCACAATTCCAAAATTATGAGGTGTATCTAAGACAGATTGGCTGGAGAATTTAAACCTCTCTGATCTATCCTACCATGGATTAGTAAGTAATCAGATTTAAGTGTATAAAATGCCATGAATTGCGTTGGAACCTAATATTTTCCCCACTATCCTTCCAACCGGCTCAGAACATCACAGACTACATAGTTGGATATTACAAAAGACAACGAAGAACAAAATACCTGCCGCATACAGCTTTCCACAACGAGTCATCAATTCTTGAAACCTGAAACCCGAATATATGATATCCGTTAGGTCGATTTGCTCATTTTAGAGAGAAGACTAGATACTCAAAGTTCACAGGAAAGAGAACAACCTAGACATTAGTCCTTCTGTCTTCAATACACAAATCTTGTTCTAAAAATATTTGGTCATTCTGTGGGACAGGTAAACAACAACTCATGGTGTATTGTATTGCACGAAAAATGGTTTTCTGCACTATTTACGATTAAACGGATGGTTTTACTGGAGACGGAAATATTCTATATGACTGTATAGTACGTCTTAAACAGTATATGAATAAGTTATGCGTCATTGGATCAATGAAATCACAGAAAATATACCCGTTGTCGTCGAGCAGAAGGGATGGTGTGCCTTAATTTATGGACGACCTTTGTGTGACCCCAAAGTGACCTTCAGATTGTCCACCCACCAACTGGGACTAATTGATGGTTATAGATCAATGTGAGTTAAAATTATGATTTACAGTTGATGGATAAAGTTAGAAATTAGACTCAGGGTCTTAATCATGAACTGACATCAGCTAAAATGCCAAAACGCTAATTAGCCAAAGAGGTGGATGAATATCGTGCCGAAGTCCAAAACCTATTATACCGACTCCAATTGATTCGTACACAAGTTATAGCCTAACGGAAAGGAAAATTCAGTCCATACCACAACTTTTGTCACTATTCACCATTGTACAAACTTTGACCAACGAGACCATTTCCACCTATTCTTTTGAAGACAGGAGGATAGGAAACAATAAACCCTGGCGATAAGCTAGCTCTGTCTCAAAATAGTTCGCTATTATTGAGTATGATGGAGTAATGGAATATATTATGGAAGATAGATATTGGCGACGTTAGAAAAAGGTTAATTATCCCGTTAAAGTGGTTAAAATAAATACTTACCATGCCAATGGATGAACCAAGAATGGTAAGTTGAACATCATAATCTCAGAGAAGATGTAGTAATTGTGGCTCAGTATATCTCGAAAAGCGGAAAGCGGCCCTTGGGAGTGGTAGAAAGTTGTGAAAGGTTGGAGCGGTGACAATTTGCACGAAAAGTGGATTGTCAAGAAGAAACGTACGTAAGAAACGTCTCCTTGAAGAGTATGGGTAGTTTAGAGTATAAATGTCGGTAGGATGAGTAGCGGTACTTCTGCAAGTCCTATCTACTTCTTTAGCGTCGATGATATAGTATGATGAACCCCCAATGAAATTATCAAAGCAGATATGTGCTGCAGTTCAGTAAAAGTCCTTTTTGCAATTTTGCGTGAATGTGTATGAAAATCCCTCAATGTAAACACTTGTTTGATGTAACTCGTTGTTTTAGGTTAACTTATGAAGTTATTCTTATTGATCCATTTGTTATGCATTCCTTTGAACTTTTGGACCCGAATGAGACAGTAATTATTTATTTGTCATAATACATTTTGTTTCTCTGGGGTTTCTACCAGATTCCTATGGTTCTCGTAGACTGTATCAACGTTGTTTTATCTGGCATTTTGGTTGTGACAGATGATACATCGATTCGTTATATATTTTAATTTTCTTGCCTGAAATTACCGGTAGCAAGTTTAGACGTTCATACGATTTCATATCATTTGATGAGACTTAGTATTACGTAAGCTCTAGTAAGAATACTATTTTTGTAATGCTATTGAATACAGAAAAGCCAATGGCGATATCTCTGTGAAGTAATTTTGAGTTATACTGTTTGTATGTTTCTTGTTTTTTTTTTCTGTTAGACTGTATCAAATCAGATAGAGTGTGGCAGATTAGATTATTTCTCTCATTGATTAACCTTACCTTATTATCTGAGCAATGTCTCTGTGTCTTGTTCGCTAAAGGTTACCATCTCGACATTCACCTGTGTCGGACATGACTACATCCAGTTGTCCAAAAAATACAAGCAAGAAATCAGCACTGTTCGTGTGCATAGCTGTTCTCATTTGATTTATCGTAAATGATTATTGTAACCGAAATCTTCACTAGATTTTCTTGACTCGAATGTGATAAAAAAGCTATGTAAAACAGTTATTAAGCGAAAAGGAATGTAATACATCAAAAGTAGCTAGTGGATGCTGAGGAAGTGTAACTAAGATGTGTGAATGTCACGATGATGCAGAGCGTTATGTGAACATACTGAAAATGTGAGAGGCGGTCTATGTGGCTATGCTAAAACATCGTTGGAATCTGTAGAATACATTATGGAGTAGAGTACAAAGATATGGAGTAGTTACTGGTCACGTGACCGAAGATGAGAGCATAGAAGCTGATTCATGTCACTGTTGATACCTATATATTCGGTCAACTGAGTAAGAAGATAGTAGTTCCAAGGCACAAAGGAGGAACCGTTCTGTGACGCACGCAAAGTTTTTGTGAGCTTTATTTTACTCATTTACTGCTCTACTCCTGGAAGTGTAGGCAGATGTCGAAACCGAACACGACTAAATTGTATAGCAGTATCGCAGCCATGTGAATTAGAAGAATGAAACTTATTGATTTAGATTCATAGACTGCGACGTCTCAGTCGTTTGATGACGTTGTTTATTATTATAGAATTGCTAAATCAGAAGATATGAACTATTTTCTTGTCGTTCGCTAACAAACTTTCACAACCAGATTAGCCACGTGCCGTCTTTATCGAGCTTAGATCTCAGATAGATGTTAGTGCGATTATCTTAGATGCTGGAATAGTTTATCTAATTTAATATTGTCGACTTTGAACTATGTGACTACCTAATCCACGAGATTTTAAGACTTAACAAGTCCAAATTGTTCGTCAACAACTTTTCGGTTCAAATTTTAGCGGCTGACATACTAAAAACATTTCTCTAGAGAAATAGTTCAATTAGATGGTAAACTGACTCTCTAAGAGGACCTACCTAGGACTGAAGATCTTCTTCCTTTAAATACCAAGAAACGCAGTGATATATATCAAGGAACTTTTGTTAACGCCAAACTACTTTGGTATTCCAGTATCACATACGCAATCACTGGGAGGAATCGAAGTATTACTCCATTAGTAATTACACACAATAAAAAATACTAAGCATGAAAATTTATTTTCAGAACATTAGAAAGCCTGACTCCGGAATTATTTGAAGCAATTTCTGGTGCGTAAATAAGATTCCGTCTACTAAAAGACATATTGGATGGGATACGAACGGACCGGTACAAGGATCCACGCGATCTATTTTCGCGGTTAGAGTCGCGAAAATGAGTAAATCCTTACCAGAAGCAATAGTAAATTCACCCTCTGCTGGGCTTTTAAAACGAATCATGGATGTTTACTGTGTCCTGCAGATACTAGAGATTATTCCTTCATCACTTCCGTTATTAACTAATTAGTTCCCTTCATATTTTCTAGATGAAATATGACAAAAAAGCATACTTGCCCGCAATGAAGACCGCCCTTTAGCAACTCCAGAACAGATCTGAGTGTATATGCAGTTCGCGAATTCCACCAGACTAATTTGAAGGTGATTCAGGTTTCGAAACATTTTGAAATATTACGTTTCCCTGATGACCTTGGCTGGGTTTAAGGATGGGGTTAGTTACGCCAATTATTATTCGTGTTACATTTATGGATTCATGGAAATTCTGGTCATTCTACTATGAATAATTTACACAACTCTATATTAGTGTTTCATGTAAAACAAATGACTTTTTAAGTTTGTCGTGAATAGATTCGGGACGATAGGACCCTTTTTACTATAGCTTTATGCTAGTATATATAAGTTGTGGTGGGTTGAAGGTATTTATTCTTCCATATAATTATCAGGGCTTTGTGCATTTCTTTGTTGAGTTGTGAGAAGTGTTAACTCTGACCTGATTAGTGAACTTACCCAATCTCTCCAAATTTGGGGAAATTTGGGAGTAGTTTGAGGAAACTCTCAAAATCAAATGACCTCCATCAAAATTAAAAGGGAATTTCGGGGAAACATTGGGGTTTTGGTGCCATTTCCCCAAAGTTTACTATAGCGGCTTCCCCAAAATTGGGACCTCGGGTACCAGCGAAATATATCAGCCTTTTTATGAGATTTGTCGAAACTACCTGGTTGATGAATATACAAATCAAATAATATATGCTCAGGCAATATATAAAATAAAGATGACGTTTTCGAGAATAATAATACTAATAGAACTCATTAACACCATAAACTTGTTAGATATCAAGTACTATTAACTAACAAGGCCTATCTACACCGTATGCAAAGTAACCGACACACCAATAGGTTATCTTTGTTTTTCTTTTTGTCATCGATAGAAATGCACCTCTTAACTAACCGAATTTGTGAACGTTTTTTATTGTCTTTTTTGTAAAGTCCTAATCAAATATGTTCAGTTTTCCTGAAATACGTGTGTATGTTTATTTACTCCAGGATCAATCCCGAATACTTTAGACAAAAGGCTTATATTAGCCCTAAGTACAAAAGTTCATCGGGTGGTCCCCCAGTCTTTTAAACACATTTGTGTAGCTGTGTCATGTTTTGCCGCCAATTTATAACTAACTAAGAAGTCAATATTGATTTCAGCAGTTGTTTTAGTGATTGTCGCTGATATTATTTTCCCTTGAATCTTTAGTCCGTGAACAGTTGTTTACGATGTATGGAATAGAATTATTCGATTGGACGTGGCTATATCATACTTAAGGATTTCTAGGATAAAGTCGGTCTTCTTTCTTATGTCATTTCCAAGAGCTCCCACTTGTCAGATAAATTATGTCTGTTCATTTATTGTACTATAGTTTCAGGCCGACAAACAAAATGTATAGCGGATCGTTTTTCAGGCCTCGATTAATAATAACCATTCGATCATCGTGTTTGCACTGTGAATAAGTCAACGTTATGTGGTGTGCTTTTGCCCATTCTTTAATAATCGGTATGGATCATAGTGATTACTAACATCGCCTAGTCATCAGAAAATGTAGATACTGGATCCAGATCTCTCATAAGTTATTTAATATTCTCATTTTGTGTCACATTATGCTGATGCTGACCGTACATAATAAAATAATGTCATAATATGGTGGAGGTCTTGTACGTATAGAAGCGTTGCTACTGCCTTAAAGAACTTAGCTTGGGGAACTTTGGCTGATACTTATTTTTGGACAGACAGGTTGCCGTCAATCTCAATTCATTATCACCGTCCGACTAAGAATTATTTACCTTTATGGTTGGATTGTTCCTGATCCTAAAGCTTGATTTACTTACCAAAATATGCTACTATATTAAAGACCTTATCAAATTAAGGAAGCTCACATCGGTAGTAAATCTTCTTTCAGGCCTTTGCGAAGTTCACATAGTTTTCGCAAAATACGTGAGGATTTTCTGACAAATAGTATTCAAAATCCCGACATCTGAGTTAGTTAAGCACTAAGGGACGGAAATTTGCTGAATAAAACTTTTCTAAAAACCGAACTTGTGGTACGTTTTTGTGTTTGTCTCCTTAGCTCCTCTAGACTAACGAAAGGTCTATGCGTATGTCAGTGAAGGACCTACGTTTCAATTGTAGCCTTGTACGCATACTTCCTGGTTCTTTGGTTTCCTGGGGTTAAGTTTGGTTAGCCTTTCATAATATTCAGGTTAACAAGAGGCCACTGACTTCAGTTTACAGGTTAAAAAGGATGGACGTACCTGTAAATAAAAGGGAGGTTTTCTCCACTATATTTATCTTGTCAAAGTATTATGAAAACATTACCTTTTCTAAGGTAATCTATCATTTATGTTGTAGCAAAATCTCTGCGCAGTGCTTATAATAATAATTATTATTATTTATTATTTTTTTCATAGTCTCGGTTTTTCACAAGGTGTAAGTTTTTCTATTCTTTTTACATTCAAACCCAGCTCCGTTAGTGCCTGATATATTAGAAAGTTGCATCATCCTCTAAAACTAATATATGGCCTATATACTCTTACTGAATCAGTCTCTGAAAAGCAAGAAGTATTTCTCCGGCTCTTGAAAATGCTTATAGCAATTTCGAACAGAAATAATGAAAGTAGGCATTCTTCCTAAGTAGTCACCAATTCTGTTTCCCATCATTTTATCAGTTTTAATATAACCGAAAGTTTTGGGGCTAGATGTTATCGAGGAAGAGATATTCCCCCTCGATATACATATCAAAAGCTGGTCATAACACTTTAACATCGAGGGGAAGTGATCTCTACTTTATACAAAGAAATGCAGACATTATGAATCCTTGGTCAATACATCTGTGTTTTGAAGCCTGTTGGAGAGCTTTGAGCTGACTCGTAAACTGTTCAAGCAAAATACCACCCTGAAAATCGCGGCACTTCGAGCATTTGCTTGTCTGCTAAGGATTTTGTTTGTCAAAAACACAAATCATTACTCCTACTGAAAAGTTTCTGTTATTTCCATAAAATCTGTAGTATTATTTATAAATATCTTAAGTCCGATATGTTTTCTGATTGTGTTTTTTTTACTTTACAGTGAACTTCCGATTTTCACTTGTCAAGCCCATGTATTTACAATTAACCCTCAAACAAAGAAGTCATGGATTCCGTCAAGCAGTAAAGCGGTCGATGTTAACTTCTTTTATGACTCCAATAAACACTGTTATCGAATAATTAGTGTTGAAGACTCTTCTGGTTCAAAAAAGGTGATTAGAATTTCATTAAATACGCTATTATCATAATTTAAAATCAATAACATTAACCACAGTAAGTGATAAGATCTTTAGTCAGGTATATCTAAGCGTCATAGATCTTAGGCCATACACTGTTTGAGTGAAGTATGTAATAAAGACCAATTGTGGCACAACACTGTACAGAATGAATTGGACAGAATGAGTTGTGACTGTAGATCCAATGATTAATAACCGAGTGGAACATGGCGCAAAGTTTGATTGGCATGAATTAAATGATAAGACCAACACACTGATTACTTCACTTCAGATAGTTAGACTAGGGATTTGTCAAGACCAGTTCTAGATTACACTCTAGAATCAACATCTCTCTAGCGAGTCACTCAGACTGACCAATTAAAGTAACTTACCATGTTTATCTGAAATAACTGAAATTACTAATTTGGAAAATTTAAATATTTTCCGAGAAAATAAAACTATGATGGGATATTTTTATTTTATTTTATTATTTATTATTTATTTGAACACATAAATATTGGTCCAAGAGAGCGCCAACATATATGCGCCACACAAAACAATGAGAATTCGAAGAGAAATAGAAAAAAAAGAGAACAATAACGAAGAGATTGGTGTAAGGTAGTGTGGTAGTAATGAGGGAACGCAAAGTTACAATCGGAAGAAATCTTTCAGGTAAGGGAGACACAACCACTTTTTATGAAGAAAGTAAAAGAAGGTTACAGCAGGATCGCCACTGGCTTCTATTCTGAGCCATATCTGATAACGTCTCTAGCCACTGTGTAGCACCATCTCTCAGACCCCAACCAGGGAGTCGTGAACGACCAACAGAAGCCAGTCCTTTGCAGCTTTCTTTCATACAACGACAACATGTCATGCACTGACCACCTCTCCGCTTCTTCCAACCAGTCCCAGAGTCGGCAAATAATGCACGACGTGGAATTCTCTGGGACGACATTCGGAGAACATTTCCAAGCCACCGAAGTCGGTGTTTCAAGATGGTGACACCAATTGCATTATCGTCTCTGCACCTGAACACACGATCCCGAACCTCTGCATTACTAACATGGTGTTGCCACTGGATGTCAGCAATCCTTCGGAGACAACGATGATCGAACACAGAGAGTTGTCTAACATTCTCAACTCGGAGAGACCAGGTTTCACAAGCATAGAGCAAAACTGCTCTCACCAACGCGTTGTAGATCCGACCTTTTACAGCCAGACTAACATCACGAAGGCGCCAGAGGTGGCCCAGATTGGCATAAGCCGTTCTGGCTTTCACTATTCGTGCATTGATCTCATCACTCACACCCTCACCAGCACTTATGCAGCTACCCAGATACACGAACTTCTCGACTACGTCTATCTGCTCACCATCCAGGGTGAATACAGGATTGGAATCCTGCCAGTCTTGTAGAAGTACTTTGCACTTCGAAGGTGCAAAGCACATACCATACCTGCGGACACTGATTGTCAACTGATTAAGTGCGGATTGCATGCCTTGGGCATTATCGCACAGTAAGACAATATCGTCCGTATACTCAAGGTCGAGAAGTGTTTCTCCAGGAAACAGATCCACACCACCATTACTTACATCCATCAGAGCTGTCTCCAGAATGTCATCGATGGCAAAGTTGGAGAGGAATGGTGATATTGGGCAACCCTGTCTAACCCCACTGCTCGAATAGAACAATTGAGAAAGGTGGTTGTATGCCCTCACTCTGCCTGAGGTGTTTGTATATAGGGCTTTTAGGATGTTAATAAACTTCTCAGGCACACCCTTCTTCAATAGACAATCCCAGAGAACAGCCCTGTCCAACGAATCGAAGTCAGCCCTGATGTCAAGAAACACTACGGTTGTTGGCCTTTGAAAAGTATGGCGGTGTTCTAACATTTGGCGGAGGGTGAAGTTATGATCAATACATCCTCGACCAGAACGAAACCCAGCCTGCTCCTCGCGAGTCAATCTTTCTCGGGTTTTGAACAACCTACGAAGTATGACGGAAGCCAATAGCTTAGACGCAATCGGAAGTAGACTTATCCCCCGATAGTTGTTAAAGGAACGACGTGAACCCTTTTTAAAGATAGGGACAACTATCGACTCATTCCATGACGTTGGTGCACTCTCTAGCTCCCAAACCTTTGTAAACAACGTCGTCAATTCCTTAGTCAAAAAGTCACCACCATCTTTAAAAAGAGCCGGAGGTAAGTCATCTGGGCCAGGTGATTTGTAACGCTTCAAGAGTTGGAGTTCCTTGTGGACTTCCTCCTCGTTTGGTGGATCAGTCGTCACCGGCCATGAAGGGCAGGACAGTCTGACCGATGTTGCCGGATCAGCAGGCCAGTTGGACTGCCCTTCGAAAAATTCTGCCCATCGTTCAAGACGTCGATGGATGTTAGTGATTGGCATCCCATCATCCTCGCAGATTGTTTCGCTCACACCAGACTTCTTCCTGCCACTGGCTCAGATGAGTTGGAAGAGCTTCCGGTAATTACCAGATGCAGCTGCTGCTTCCAGCTCATTAGCACGCTCCAAACACCAGGATTCTCGGTCCTTACGCAAGCTTTGCTCAATTTCCTTACGTAACACCCTTTGTTTGTGGTCAAACTCACGGTCACCTGGAGTAGACCGACGGGCTTCAATGAGTTGTAAGGAACCTGCAGAAACCCAGTGCTTATAAGCGGGACGTTTCGCGAACCCACAACTGACTGTACCCGCCATTTTCATGGCGTCATGCAATTGCAACCAATGCTCATCTATACTTTTCGGTTGAGTGGTAGCTAGCCTAGAGGCTAGCTCGGTTCGATACTTACCTGCAACAGAAGTTGCAACCAGCTTGCTAATATCAATCCGTTGATGGAGGTCACTTCGTTGTCCACTGAAAAGTAAGGCAAGATTGGCGCAGACCAAGGCATGGTCAGAGTCCAGATAGGTACTCCAAAAGGAGCGGCAGTCTTGTACACAACCACGCCAGCGGCAGCTGATCGCGATGTGATCAATCTGAGTCCAGGCTTGAGATGCAGAGGGAGGACGCCAGGTGGCACATCGGTGATGACTGTGCCGAAAGTTAGTGCTAGCCAGAAACAGGTTGTGGTCTGTGCAAAGTTGCAGTAGACGGTCCCCGTTATCTGACCTGCGACCAACGAGTCCCCATCGGCCACCTAAACGACTCTCTTCTGTGCCTAGACGCCCGACCTGAGCATTCAAGTCTCCGGCTAGTACTACAATATCTGTCGAACGCACTTTCTGGAGAAGAACAGATAACTGGTGGTAAAACTCATCCTTGATTGCATCCAGGCTGCAATCTGTCGGGGCATAGGCGGAGATGACGAAAAGACATCGTTTCTCACGCCGATTTCTTCTCGCTTTGATGGAACTTTCTAATCTAACAACATTTAACCGACTGTTAATGGGGATCCAATTGACTAGTGCTGCCTCAGCTCTAGCGCTTAGTGCGACACCAACGCCAGCAAGGCTAGACGACGATACCACAGGGTCCCCGGATAAGCGCACGTAAAACAAGCTTTTCGAAGCGACAGATGGAGACCGAATTTGTAGTACTTCACCAGAGTCTTGAATACGGGTCTCGGATAGACAACAAACGTCGATATTAAGACTTTCCAAAGACATAGCCAGCCCTATCTGTTGTCCGACCTGAATAAATGTGCGAACGTTGAAGGCAGCCAGTTTGAGTGGTGCACGTGGTTTCAGAAAATCTGCTTCAGTCCTCGTATTCAGTGGTAACATACAATTTTCAACCGGACAGTGACTCGAGAACGTTTAGATACAGTCGAATTTCCACCAAAGACGAGCCGCTGTATAAGTATAAAAGAGGGTGAATAATGTCGTAGTAAATAATAATACTAATAATATTAATAGTAATAATGACAATAATAGTAATAATAATAATAGTATTAATAATGACAATAATTGTAATGATAATAATTTGAATCAATTGATTGTTTTTCGAAGCGAGAAAAGTAATTTCCATAGGCATAGAGAGTTCATCATTTGTGTGTGGGCTGTGATACTGCCCGGGTGCCCAAACCGAAGCAGGTGGTTATCTTAGGGGGCCACTCCTCGAGCCTTTGACCTAAAGGTCTAACCCACAAGGCAGTGGAGCATCGTAAGGAGATGCAATCCCATGGTAGCCGGTGACCAACGATTGGTTCATACGCCATTTGTTCCCGCGGGATACTGGAGCCCATGTGCATCATTGGTTTGTGATCCGGTTAAAGCGCCGGACATTCGCTTTTCGTCCTCTCATTTTCGTAAACAACACCCCCGCCACGAGAAGGCAATGAGTAGGACTTCCCTGGCAGAGGCTGTATACGCGCGGCCGTGTGAGAGTATTTCGAGAGGGAGAGCGGACTCTCTCCACTCTCGGCCGTACCAGGGCATTCGGGGGCATGGGATATTTTTATCCCGATTTCATCTTGTTGTGTGATTTTTGTCTAGAATTCGGCTTCTCAAAAAACAGGTAGGTGTAAATACAAGTAAAAAAAGAGGTATATTCGTTTGGTTCACGTTCGATCATCATTCCTTTTAAACTACAAAACGTCATTACACTCACCAATTTAAAATATCGTCAAATTTTGATACTAGTACTACTAAGTAGATGGTAAATAACATTGGTAATCTACGTAAGTTTGTCTAGTGTAAAATTTTAGTCACGGTTAAGTCGTTTTTCTGCTGAAAAAAACCACTCACCTATGAAGATAAAAAATATGTTGTGAAGTTCGTCGTTTCTATTTACGTATCTAAATAATAACATTACGTATAGTCATCAAAAATATTTTGACTGTCTATATATTTTTTTAACTTGAAACATAAACGTTTTCAAGATTTTCTTAGTGTAGTAATAGTTAAAATTTGAACCTGTATATATTTCAAATTAGTTTTTCTAGTACCGTTAATCACTTAAAACATATGTACTACCAAGAAACTTGTGCTATTAGGTACTATCTATGCCAGATAGAGAAAGCTTCAAACAATCACTTTAGAGTAATTTAATCATTAGCATTATTGAGGGTGGGTAAGGTCCTCTACCTTCATAAAGATACTTTCATATAGCAGGATGTTGTCACCCATATCATTAAAGTTCTATTCGTCGTCTCCATATGGAGTCAATGTTTTTTGTTTGAAAACGGAAAATGTTAAACGGTTAAATTTGATCAATAGTCTGTCAAGAAGGAGTTGGGAAACTTTTTTCCAGTCAGTGCATAAAAGTTTTAATATCTTAAAGAAATGAATAAAGCACCAAGGTATTCTGATCACCGACAACCGCATAAATACAACTTTTAACTGTCACCTTATGGGTTAAGTGTTTGCCTCATGGGTTTAACCATAGTTTTTTAAAACAACTACCTATTCTGATCTATACAACTTAGTAGCAGAACAATCGTTGGATAAGCATATATCAATTTTTAACATTTAAATATCCCTAATTTAGGTTATTATTAATAGTACATTGACGGAAAAAATGACATTCAAGAAGACTTCACAAAAATTCGGACAATGGGCTGATTCGAAAACTGGTGGAGTCCATGGTTTGGGGTTCAGCTCAGAAGCAGACTTAACCATGGTAAGTTTTAAAAAAGTGTACAGGAATTTATTTCTCATTATTTCGATACCTTTTGTTCACTTATAAAATATATGGTACCCTTGAACTACAAACTGGCTTATATATTATAAAATCATATCTAAACATTGAACTAAAATCAGTGTATCAATAGGAATTGAATTAATGATCGATAATTGTGAATCACTTCTGTTGACTTTGCATAAGGTACTATCCTTAAAATGTTAGGTTAAATTGTTGATATTTTTTGTATTCAACTTCTTTTCAGGTCGTACCGTGTATAACGTCAAGTTGATTATCATTATTTTATCTAGAAAAAAAATAGTTGTTAATAGTTGGTCAGGAAATATAATAAAAGTCAGATATTTCAAGTGATAGGAAATCTCGGACACTCCTCAGGTGATTGGAAGGTTTAGAACTTAAATAGTTTTAAGAGTTGAATAACCATAAATAGTTTCATGTGTAATGATTGTTGTGTAAATCGTATGAATATTTTGCGGTTAGGTGAATTTAACTGGGTAATGTAGATTAACAATATATGATCTGATAATTACGAATCCGGTACACCAAATGTTGGATTACAGTTCTGTACATTCCCCACTGCAAAATACTACTTGTAATACCACAAAATACACGGTCCCCCCCACTAATTTCATTGACACAGCTTATAAATCACATTAAAATTTGATTTCAAAAACTTCAGTAGTTGCCCCTGTTCTGATTGAGTGGAATAATTGTCAAGTGTCACAATTCATATTTAAGTTAAATTTTTTGGTTTGCGTTATATACATTTTGTTAATTTCATATAAGAGGGATTCTAATATATGATTATTTGTGTAACATTAGCTTCTTACTTTTATAAAACTTATATATTACCACTAAAATGTGCGGTGCAAAGGATTTACTATTTTTAAGACCGGTATTGCCCAATGGTAGTATAGCTGAATATGTTGATTATCCATGGAAAACATCTATCACTACTACATGCCATTAAAGTCTGCATTGTGAATTCCCTCTCATATCTTCATTCTTCTAGTTAGTTTTTTTAACCCGATAATTTTTATAGTGAACCCTCAAAGACTAAGATTCCTAACTGATATGATTTTATTAGGTTCTCGGAAAAAACTCAGACCCCTGCTTTAAGATAACAACTACAGTCCAAACTATTCCAAACAATCATAGATTGCTGAGAGTCGTAATCCTACAAAAAATCAGCGATTGTTTCAAATCTTGGAACTTATCCTATTATTATTATTATTATTATTATTATTATTATTATTATTATTATTATTATTATTATTATTATTATTATTATTATTATCTCTTCTACTTATAACCTGAAAATTTGTAAGATACTCTAATTTTCAACTAACAAGAAATCGAGGGAGTTGATCTCCGTTTCATGCTAAGTACTGCTCGCATATCGATCCTGTCATTGGATCATTAATGTTCAGTGAGTTCGGTGGTATGTGTAGAATAGAACTTTAGTTCAATGTGATTTCATAATTTTATAGTTTTTTCATTCAACCACAATTTCACAACGCACTGTCGTTACTTAAATTTTAAACATTCTGGTTAAACTATTATTTTTCGTACAACTGTACTTAGTTCATGGATTTCATTGACTGTTTTTCACAAAGATTGTTATGTCCAATAAATGCACATCATTTATCTAGCTTCGCATATACATTGCACACAAATGTAAAAAGTTTAGGCTGGTCATTATATATATAATGCTTACAGAAATAGAGTTCTTCAACAATTAAAAGGATAATGATTTTACTGGATAACTAACTTTTACTTAAAATAAACTCTTGATGTAGTTCGTAGTAGTTAGAACTGTTTAAAATAGTGAAATATAAAATTAATCTAATTATCAAGTCTAAAACAGTGTAAAAAAATTTAGCATTTAACACTAATCTACTCCCATTGGTTAAGTTTGTTACGCGCTTCATTGCACTAAGAGATGATTCAACATAGCATAATATCACTTAGATTCGGTTACCCATTTGAAGGTAATCGGTAAGGAGTTTCGAACTTATATATAATTAGTGGCAACTGTACTAGTTCAGTGGTAAAGTTGCTTACCATGGCGTATTAGGTTATTTGTGGAGTATCAGTATCTTCGATTCTTTTTAATTCCGGATCTATATTGTTGATAGTCAGCTCACATTGGTATAAAACCTAGATCCAGAGTTTATACTTGGTTACCACCACAAAATCCATGACATCAAACAAATTCCTCTATAATATCAAGTCACATAGGGTGGTGAGCACACCAAAGACTCGATCGATAGATTCCAGTCACTCTTAAAGACGTTGATTAAAATTTTATTATCCTTATCTATCCAGCTACCTTGTTCTCTCAATTCTACCTAAATCAAGTCACAGAAGATCTTCCTTCATCGAAAAACAGGTAGTAGCTGGCAAGGTCTAAACGCACATGAATCACAGTTAATCGATGTTAGTTCTTCATTTTATCAAACAATTACTTTCTTTTCACCTTTGTTCCCCTTATTTATTTTCAGTATCTTTTATTATTGCCATTGTCTTGTTTAAATATCACGCGAAAAACGGGATACATAAATATTATCTGTCCACTTTGAATTTTGTTCCAGATTTTCTTTCTATAAATGCTTTTCATTTGTAAATGCCTGACTTCATATTATCACTTACATTTTTATTTGGCTTAACCAATACCCCAATGACCAATTAGACCATTTGATTTTTTTCCAATTGGCAATAATCCAGGTTGACGCTATCTAAACAAGTTATACAGATTTTCAGACTTTATATAAACAAGGAATCCACATATATGTCCCTGTGCGTGTATATATATATATATATATATATATATATATATAATCATACCTAAATACCATACTTTTTGGCGTCATCTACACTCGAACGCACTTATATCTTCAAAATCAATACTCATCCTAAGCTGTTCCCTCTCTCTATTCCATCCAGTGTGCAAAATACTATTAAAAATATGAATGATATTTCATTATAAATTATTTACTGAATTTTTCCCACTGTTGTCGGTAGTTTGACATTAGTTTTACTTCGTCTCATGATTTCGTGCTTTTCAAATCAGCCATCATATTTATTTCAAAATGTAGTCACTGGCCTTAGTAATTTGTATTTTTTCCCTGCAGTTCGTTTCTTTCTTTTAGAAAAATATGGCATATATACACAACACACACTGTCATTAGCAGCGTAGCACCTGGTAAGAAGAAAAAAATATTGATGTAAACCTCTAGCTGTTCAATATGAATGCTCAATCACACCAAACATTACGTAATTCATTAAAACCTCCCTATGGCTGCCACATTCTCTATAACTGGGTTGTATTTCTAAACCTTTCATCTGGTCTCGGTTAGAGAAACATGTTACTAACATTTACAAGTGATTGGTCACTAAGTAGTAGTGGCCAATGCCCTGAAAACTGATCGGAATCTATCGATCACGTCCCAATATAACCACTAGTCTAAGTGACTCGGCAGCCCGTGCACCATGTTGGGATGTTTGTTGGTGCGTTATCGTCGATAGGAAATACTGTTATTAAGCCATTTGAGCTGCGATTGATCTGCAGAGTTTGCTGTTGACTACCTCCAGCTGCCTATCATGTGACATTCAACAGCAGTCAATCAGTCATAAGCATATAGATACTGACATAAAACTGAAAGTCTAATTATTGGTAATACTAATGATGTTTAAAAAAATGGAGGGTTAATAATGTTTTGAGAAAGACAAGTGCAATAAATACTGTTGGAATTAAAATTTACAATCCAAGTGATAAGTATATTTGCTTCATTCTAACTCATTTTGAAATATTTGATTTAGTGTTCACGCATCATAAATTATGATTATCTTATGTGACAGCCTCTGTTGATTTCTGATGTCTGATTAATTTACGATATATATTTTCTAAATTATACCAAATACACTAAATAAGGTGAGAAAAATGAAATAAGTAGGATGGTTTAATGGTAAACCGAATTATGGTGTACATAAATCGTAGGTTATTTATGATGTTATTCTGACCCAGAAAATAACAGGCTGGGATCTTGAGTAGGTGTATAGTCTAACTCATTCGATAGAATGCGTTGTTTATAATTTCTCACCCACCATTTGAGCCTCAGATGGCATATGAGCTTAGGCACATGACGTCTGTACTCATCTAGTCTATCAGTATCATCACAACACAATCTAAGTCAGTAGTTTCATGAAATGTTACCAAGTTTCGGTTTGACTGCTATCAACCAGTACTAGAAAGATAAATATGCTAGTCGTTAAAAGGTAAAATTTACACGATAATAATAAAGATAAAATTGTAAATTATTTAGTATTTCTCAGACGAATAACTTTGATAACTAAACTATAATTGATGTTTCTGTCTAAAGCAATTTAACCAATACCAATTACTATTTCCTCTTTTTATCGAATTGACTAACAATCCATTTTACAGAAAAACATAAATATTTAAACATCAGTGACTGTTAGGCCTATTGTTTTATGATTTACATAACGGGCTCATCTTAATTCAATAACCACTAAAAGCCAGGATGCACTGAACAACTCTTTCTTCCTACTACTCATTCATGAAATATCCCCGGGGTCGCAACCATGATTTTCACATCTCATAGTGAGCTCTTAATCTATAGATTAATGAGTCAGGATCTAATCGTTTACACTTCTCACGTCAGTCAACTCACAGTGTTGCGTAACCATCTTCCAATGTCATCGGTAGGTAACTGCCTCATATTGTACATAGCTGTTTTCCTTTAGTCACGGATTCCTATTAGAACTCCGGGAATTATCCCCTGAAATTAGTCATTAATAAGCACATGGTTTCACTCTTTATTTCCTTTTAAATTTTAATTTGAGACTGCTGTTTTGTAAATATTCATAACTATTCAGAGGATTAAATCGTCGATCAACAACATAGTTTTTCCTCACATCAGTTTCTTTATCTATTTTTTCCCTCGATTCACTTACACTTATCAAGTGGTGAGTAACTAATCTTTTCTAATAGTAATTAAACTCAATTTCAAATGAATAAACAAAGTTATTTAACTCTTAATTTTTCTACAACTAATTTACCAAGTACAGATTTATATGTTTGAGCTTCAGGTCATATTTTCCATGTATAGCATACCGATACTACCAAGTTGTTCAAATCAGAGTAGATGAAATAATGTTGTTTGAATCTCTTCCCTCACTTTGTACTTTGTTCTTTACCTTAACTTTTGTTTGCTTAGTTAAACCCGTTTTAATAACAAGTTTAGATTAAAACTAACTAATTTAACTATTTGATATAGGATATTTCTTTAAAACACAGATATCTTGTGGTGGGTATTGCTGCATTTATATATGTTCAAACTTCAGTGTGTATTCCTAAACGCAAGCCGATGTGAATGAACACCCAATTGGTGATATATGGTGCTATAATTCTGGTTAGCGCTTTTTAGCAAGATTGCTTTTTATGAGCTGGGGTTACTGACCCCATGCCCAACCCTTCTCCTTTACTCGGGCTTGGGACTGGCAGTAACTCTCGAAGAGCTACAGGCGGAGTTATATAGTGATAGAACGTTAACTAATTGATTAATATGTATGTATATAAACTGGACGTTGTTATTTTATATCATGATTTAAGGATTAATATAAAGTTGTTTTTTCTTAATTATTATTAGTATTAGTATTAGTAGCTGATAAGTCAATATAATCTTCAGACACTATTAGATCGCTTACTTTTTCATGTTTTAAAAAATTATCGTTAGTATTAGAAGATGACGTTTCTGACTTCTGCCAATATTAACTTTTCTGATGTATTTAAGACTTGTTTACTAAACACCTAATCATCATTGAGTCCGAAATCTTAAAAATTTTCAACTCTAGTTAGTGTCTAAAATATTACATAACCAATCCCTAACATTATCGACAAGTACATTTTATGAAGTAATAACTAGTAACCCTCAAGTTGAATGCATTTAAATTTCAACTAATCTGTTCACAAGTTCATATTCCACTTTATTAAATTCAGTTTAGTCAACTGTTTATATTATTGAAATAGGATTTGATGATTTTATGATGTTCAATTGTTAAAATGTAAACAAAGAATAAACAAAGAATATTGATCAACAATTGATGATATGCTATAATACGATGTATGATGAGTAGTGAGTTGTTCATGAGACTGATTTATTCAATTAATCTCTTAAATAAACTAATATTATAAGTATCAGAATGGGTTTTGTGGAGATTTTCTAGAAATTTCACTGGTTGACATCATAAGTCAATTGAAGCTAGACCACCATGGAAAACCTGGAAGCACTGGACGGCCGTTTCGTCCTAGTATGGGACTCCTCAGCAGTGCGCATCCACGACAAGATAGTTGCTCAGTAGAAATAGTTTTTTTTTAATTTAATAAAATAATATGATTAAATGTTATAGATGATCAAATGGTTAGGCTTTCTCATCATATCGGCTTAGTAACACTAGCCCTCATTCACAAACATTTTAGTTTAAAGTCCAGTAAGTAAACTTGCACTTGGTTTGAATAAATCATGTTTTAAAGAAAAAAATCCTGGAATTGTTTATTTTTCATACTGGGAATCTATTCTATCCTATTTCTTTTAAAAATTTTACATAGTTCATATCATAGTAAATGAGTAAGGTAGTTTGAACTGTTGGTTACTTTTTATCAGTGTTTTACAAACCATCCATTTCAACAGTTGGATTATGTTTTGTTAAGTGAATTTTTTTTCATATCATTTTATCCATTAAAAATACAGACTGGATCACATTTCTAGTGGAATATATACTCATATATTATCTGTAAAACTGGTTTTTTTTAAATATATGCTGAGGCGGTCACAAAATTACTCAAATTTTGTTAATATTCCCAAGACCTCACTAAGAACAATAATCATAAATGCTTTTCTTTCTCAATTGGATTTTTCGCACGGAATTTATCTTTTTCTGATTATTCGCCACTATTCTTAATTCACTAATTCTCTGCACACTTTCATTATTATCTATGCTTAATTGTACCATTCCAAATTGTTCTACTTGAATATTAATTTTTTCCTACATCTCATCTAATTCTTGTGTTATATTCCAGCTGACTTTATCGAGCCCACAATAAAACTGTTCATGTGTAGAATAACTCAATCGTTTAATAATTCACAAAGCAGTGTAGTCTAACCGGAAATTCCATATACACCTAATCGCTATTACCAGAACTTCTTACAACTGTTACCCCTCGTGGAAGAGCATAGGTAGCCCACCAGCATTCTCCATTGAACTCTGTTCTGGGTGGTCCTTTCCAGTTGCTATGTATTCTTTTGATGTCTGCTTCCAGTTTCCGATGCAATGTGCTCCTTGATCTTCCTCTTTCCCATTCCCCTTCAGCACTCCAAGTTAGCGCTTGCCTCGTGCTGAAGTTTGATTATTTCCGCAATGTATGTCCTATTCACATCCAACGTCTTTTCCTAAGTTCCTCTTTAGATGGGACCTGGTCTGTTCTCTCCCACAGTAGGCTGTTCCTGATGGTATCCATCCAATGGACGTTGAGTATCTTGAGTAGACAACTGTTTATAAATACTTGTACTTTTTGATGATGTTTGTAGTAGTTCTCAAGGTTTCAGCCCTGTACAGTGAAACTGTCTTGACGTTCGTATTGAAGATTCTGATATATCTAAAGGAATAATTGTTAAATCTCACTGGACACTGTGAACTTCCAAAATGTCATTTTGTCCCAGATTGATTTTCAAGTCCCCTTTTACTTGACTTAAAATATTTATTTAAAAAAACAATGACACCTAACGGTATTTTCATCAGCTTTTGTTTTACTGTTGTTCTGTTGTTTTTTTTTCTTTTCTATTCTTTATTCTTCAAGTTTATCAATCAATTTAAACAATGTGTAGATTCAATGAAAGCTCAAATTCAACCAGAAGCAAATAGTCCATCTGGAATACGTGTACCAGTAAGTTTTTTCGTATTTTAAAGTATTTCTATCGTTTTATTAGAAGTGTTTTATGTTCTCTAAGCCAGATAGATACGTTAATTTGGAATCTTTTGTTGTCATTCGTCTAAAAATAGCATCATTAGGACAAAGAAAGCCTCACAACTAAACATTTCAACTCAGAGACCACGAAACCTCCAATATTTTAGTAGTCGAATCCTTCAAGTTCATCTTATTTGGGGTTTGTCAACTGGAATGAACCTGTATCCCATAATTGACATCCACACTGAAATCTTGAACCCCAATACCTATCCATCGGTCCAAATACCAACTCAGTAACGGAGTTGGAGCCTAGATAATAATCGACTTCACATGATGTAATATTTATTATTATTATTATTGTTTATATTTTCCTGCTAATTAAATTTTATCGAGTCTCAGTGTAAACATCAAAATTGCGTTACAAATACATTCTTACCCGACGAATCCTTAATTAGGCAAAATGTGCATCCTGGATCCACTATCTATAAAGATATGTTACTATTATTGATTGACTGGTTGATTAAATAATCTGAAATACTTTTAATCTTATGTAAATCATATGATCTTTATTTACACATTACATAAACAGATCATATTTTTTTACACTAAAATATGTAACTTTTTTTTCTACCAACCTGGTATTGTTTAATACACTCATAGTTTACTTCCTGATCTCACTTTTTTTGGTGAATTTCTGTAATCCAACATAAATTATACTCATTTATTTGAAAGTAAAGCTAATTTGCCTAATCACTTTTATCGTTATCTTTACTATTCCGTAGAAAATATTATGTAAAATAATCAAGCTTTCTACAATGTTATCCAATATTCTGCTTCGTTTTTTATTTAAACACATAAATATTGGTACAGAGGAGCACCAAAATGTTCATGCATCACACAATAAAAATGCGATTGTGAAGAGATAGCGGAGGAAAGGTGGGTATAATGAAAGAAAATAATAATAAATGGAAATAGATTAGTGTATGAAAGTGAAATATTAATAATATTGATGATGAGAGAAGCGATTCAGTTACGAAAAATATGACCATAAAGAATCCTCTCAGTTAAAGAATTTACGCTCACTTACACGGAAAAGGTTACATCACGATCACCACTGACTCGTATTCTGAGCCATATCTGATAACGTCTCAATCCAATGTGTTGCACTATCTCTAGGACCCCAACAGGGAGTCGTGAAGGACCGACAGATGCCAGTCCCTTACAACATTCTTCGATACCATGACACCATGTTCATATAATGATGCCCTCTTCACTTTTACAACCAGTCCCAGTATCGACAAATAATGCACAATGTGGAATTCTCTGGAACGACATTCGTAGAACATGTACAAGTCACCGAAGTCAATGTTTCAAGGTGGGGGCACCAAAGTGAACTATCGTCACTGTTCCCGAACACACGTTGCCTAACCTCCACACTGCTAACATAATGTCACTGAATATCAGTTATTCTCCAGAGATAAGGATGATCAAACACACAGGTGCTTAACATTCACAACTCGGAAAGGTCAGGTCTCAAAAGCATAGAGCAAAACTGCTCTTGTAGTGTATAAAATGTGTCAAGAATTTGAAGTAGGATTCTTACTGACGGAAAGGGAACATGAGGGGAATAGAAAAAACAATCAATCCAAGTAGCAACAGGAATAAAAAAAACGATGTATTTTAATGTATTGTCTCCATATTTTAAAGATGCAGTGTGTGATTTTGCTTAACACAATAACTGATTTACTCTACTAAAGTCTTCGTGCATTGCACTCTCACTGGTCGGTTGTAGATTCCTCGTTTTACAGCTAGACTAACATCACGAAGGCACCAAAGATGGCTCAGATTGGCATAGGTCACTAACCAGTAGCTTTAAGCGTCTTCAGTTGATCGATCTCATTTCGTGGTGAAAATTACTTTTCGAAAAAAGAAAATCTCCATACAACCAATGTGACTAATAATATACGAGTTCAAGTTATAAGGCGTTTATACCGTTTGCAGTTTAAGGTTATACCAATCCTGCCCTCATTCAAAACAATCCCTATTTCTGGAAAGATGCGTTTTTTTCTCACATTTCCTTAGAAGTTCTCAGAAGTTAAGCTGTTCAGCTGCTTCGTTGTTTTACATTTTATATCATCTTTTCATAACTATTTTATTTTTCGAAAACATAAAAATAGTAGATTGCACCGGTAAATGAAAAGAGTAATCTATCCGGGCGATAAAAATTGGTAACAGTCAGAAATTCATGATGAAACACTTAATGAATACTGTGGCGTATTGTTGTATATTTCCTTATGAGGAGATCACAACTCTCATCATATATTAGTAACTGAAGTGTACAATGCGACTGGTCGTTTTTTTAGTTCCAGTAGTGGCTAACATACTTAGAAGTTCAGTTTGGGTATTTATTGATGAATAGATTACATACAGATATAACTGTTAATCAAATCTATTCCAAGTAATTTAATGTCTCATCTTTTGTATTCATTTCTAATTTTCAGTATTTAACTTAAGTAAAAACTGTTTACATTAGTAACAATGGTATAGTTAGCATCTCAGTTGATTGATTATTGGTCTTGTGTATGTGTACTTTTCATATTTGCTTTTCGTGGGAAAGTGTAATTTTTACTACTTTTTACCTCGTCATCGCTTGAATGTTTTTTTTCTTCTTGCGATTATCTTTTTGTATAGTCAATGATTCATTGGTAGGTGTAATCTAATCAGTAAACTATCTATTTAACGGTGATGCAGCAAACCCAGACGATGACAATAATAATAATAATAATAATAATAATAATAATAATAATAATAATAATAATAATAATAATAATAATAGTGGAAAATGTGAAACAAATTACACTTGACTAGGTAATTACCTAACTTGTCATTTGAGACGTAGTTTTTGCTTGTCTCAGTTTACTAGTTATACATTTCTACAACTTCTATCCGAGCTTTATTTTAATGCGTCCATTATTGTGCGCGCATATATGTGTGTATCAGTGTACTTGGTCAAAATATCAACTGTCTATCTTGTGAACTTGTTACATACTTGTTCAAAAACACATCTTAGTTGTATCCTAGAATCCAGAGTTATTTCACCCTGAACAAAAAGCAGAAGGCGGGAAACATAGGAAAATCCTTACTCCCAAAATTTGTTTATGTACAAATTGGCGATAATAGTTATACGGAATTATACATAAGTTGATAACAAAGTCAGCATTTGTCCAATCATTATAAAGAAAGTACATTCAACCACTTTATAAGTTTTTTTCTGTAAGTTCCTAATGAGCACAGATTAATCGAAGTGTTTTTATCATCTTTCATAGCTGCTGTAAACTTTTTCAAACAATTATCAAAGGGTCCCAACAATGAAAATCAGTTGCACAACCGTTAATCATAAAGTGACATTCGATATTTGCCTAATCTTAATCTTGTAACTTATTTTTTAAATTCATTATTGAATTGAGTAACATTGTCTGTTTCATTTTATGGTAAAATTATGATTTACAGATAAGCCAATTGGAATCGAAAACTCAACTTTTAAGTTTTTGCTTGAGATTCAAGTACCATGTATAACAAGCAGTAAAAATACCTTTGTATAGTGTTCAAAACATCCAACAGGATTGCGAATGATTATTTTTTGTAATCATGGATTTAAAATGATATTGTTAAGTGTAGTAAATGCCTAATTCTATCTCACCCTGAATACTTGATCCTGAAACAAACATTAATCTTGTGGCAATATGTTTTATGGATTAACCAATAAGATAGCGCCTCGTGTTTACGAGCGAACTTTAACATTATAGCTGATGTCAGTTCGGGAATAAATTATTAACCCTAAACATCCAATCCTTACCCTAAATAAATATATTTGTAATATCCCAACGAGTAGAAAAATTACATTTTCTGACGTCTCGTGACTCAGTGTAAGCCATTTCTTCAGCGAATAACTAACCAAATCAAAATTAATCCAAGTTTATATTCTTGTGTTGTTCCTTTGTAATACTTAAACTTAGGATAATTTTAATTTGGTTATTTATTCTCTGAAGAAGTGGTTTACACTAAGTCACGAAACGTCAAAAAATTTAATCTTTCTACTCATTGGAATATTACAAATATATTAATTTATTTATAACAATCTACCCAATGCTCAATTTATTCGAAATTATCAGGTCAAACCTTGGTAATGATACTTACTTACCCTAAATAGCTAACCCTAACTTAAAACAATATAGGGCCTCTTATAAATCTTTTTGGGTTCTTATACGGAAGATCTATATCCATTCAGAAGAATTTAAATTTCGTTGTTCTTTCATTTATGAACAGAGCAGCCTGAAAAAGATATAAATAGATTTACCAACCGTAAAGTCTGTTTATACTTTTCAATATTACTGCTTTCTTTTCCATAAACCATCCCTTTCTGATTGACTGGTTAAAAACCGGCTGGAAATTTGTCGCGCTTATTTTGAACTCATCCTCAAAGTATGGTTTTGCTCATTCTATAATCCCGTTTTTATTTGTCTTTTAGTTGTACGACATACGTTTAGATTCACAATGAAGTTGGTTCTATTATTTCCTGTCATGTATATATATAACTCATATTTTCCATTCCCTCTCGTTACCTTGACTCTTTTAATCAACTAACAGTCACTGTCCATAGATTGACATCATATCATATGGAAAGGTTAGGTACAGAAAAAGAGAGAAGCAAAAGTGTAATGAAATATTAGAGCTAAGGTTCTAAAAAAAGGCAAAGAGTGCTGAGTATTATCATAAATAGGACAATGGCTCAGTGATTGAAGCACATCGTTTTCAACGAGTGAATCATAGAATAAAATTCCACTTAATTTAATTCATAACAAACCGTTCCGGAAATTGTGTATTCGTTAGTATATGCAAAAACAGATTTAATACAGACGTACAAGAATATCCTTCGTAGTTGAGTACACCAATCTCCATAGTTGTTAACTGAGTTACAA